TTATTCTCTGATTGAGGAGCTGTTCATCTAGAAAACTACACTCTTAATGTTAATCTATTCACCTTGATTCACCTCAAAAGATGAAATAGAAAAAATCTCATCTTCCATGAAAAGGAAAAGGATATGTGCCCTCTTTTCCTACTTTGGTTAATTACACATCAAACTGTATAAGGCTATTTTTTAAGAAATAAAGTAATAATGTGGAATAAGTTGTTATTTTTATGACAAAGTAAATAGCAAGAATCCTTGATGACATTTTACAGACTTGGAGAAATAGATGCTGAGATCAAAGATTGTATAAAAACATTCCTTTTTTCAGAAATTTTAACAGTACTGTACATGGAAATTCAATTCAGTATTCACTAAACCATTCAATCAATCAATCTTTTATTGCATATACAATTGTACATGCCCAGTACTTCAGAGCAGAACTCGGTATTCATCAAACCACTCACGATTCAATGCATATGTTCCAGTGGCATGCCATGACATTTGATGATAGGGAAGCTGTGTTTCTGTAAGAAGCTGACTTATGGGGGCAATCAGTTAATTGCATGTCAGGGACCATTCGTATTCCTTTGTTCAATAAGCCAATAAAAACCGTACACTTCTTTAAATGTATTTTTAATAGATTATCTGACATACTTAATAAATAAACAAGTTCAAATTACCTCTGTTATTAGATTCAATAGATTCCCTATGCCCTCTAAATGCCAATTCTTCCTTTGAGAAAAAACATATAACATCTATTAATTTAGATATAATATATCTATTAGCCATAATTATCTTGTTATAATTTTCAATATTTATTTTATATTGTCTACTAATGTTAAATTCTATTCTGTTTTGATTTCCAAATTGCTTCAATTTTATGAAAGAATTGATGTGACGTTACAACTTTCGTGTCTTTTGCCAGCTTTACTCAAATTATTTAAATCATCAAAGCCATTCTTATTCCACACACTAATTTTATTTGAAAATAGTAGGCACGACCAACAAAACAATTTTTGCATTTTTATACATCCACAAAGCCATTTTATGTCTTCATAAATTTTATCGTGAAAATGTCAAACAAATTTTTTTATTGGAGTATTTATGTTTAATTTAGGCATTGGTCTTTCTCTTTTAATAATGTTTTCTTTTTCATTATATAGTCTTGAGCCAAAACCTTTTAAAATAAATTTTCAATATTGCAATTACATTCTGAATCACTAGCCATAATATAAGGGCTAAAATTAAAAATAAAATTATAAAAACTTACTTGGTAAAATAAAATGTCTGGTGGATATACATACCTGGTACAAAATATTCTTCAATTGTATTAATAAACTTTTAAAGAAACTTATAATTAAATATAACTTAGTAAAGAAATGTACATAAAAATAACAAAATATTCTTTACTTTTGAAATCTTAAAACAATCCACTTAGTGAAATAGCTCCCTACAAGTGGCTAATGAATAGAATCAGAGATGTCCTGGTAGATGTGCAGTGTGTGCATGCATGTGGGCTGACAAATCCCAGTCAGTGCCAAATGCCTCTTTTGTTGCATCACTAATATACCTCAAAGGATGCAACAGGGTTGTTGTAAATTTTAAACGTTTCTCACCATAGCTGTAAAAATCTACATATGTTATATCTACATAATAGATTGTCCGTCATTTGTTTTCTAACTAATTCGTTTTAGGACCAGGTGTCCACAGAAATTTCCAAAATTTACAACTTTTCAGTCACTCTCATTGAATTGGAAAAATTTCTGTCTTTATATTATGAAGAAATCAGTCCCCACTGTACTTGGCTAGAGATTGGTTCAGTTAAGCTTTTAAGTAAAATTCTGGCTCTTTCAATAGGGTTTTATTTATGTCCCTAATTCCCTAATCTTTTAATTATTTAACTATTTCTCAAGTAGAAATAAGTCAAAACCGGTTACTTTGTACTTGAATAATTGTAGTCTTTGGAAAGAAGTGGAAAGACAAATTTTTATGACAACTGATACATAAATCGTAAATTTAAAGAAAATAAATTCTAGAGCTTTTTTTGTACCTCGTGCGTCTCATTCATTAAATTTAGTTGTTAAATTATGCTGCCAAAGTAACAGTTAATTTTTTAACATTGTACAAGAATTGTACATGTTTTTTCCCCTTATAGATGGAACATACTAAATCATAATATCACTAATTCAACATTGAAATTCGTAAGTAATATAAGATGGGAGAGCAGAATAAAAGCAGAATAAATATATCAGATATTTTTAATGGATTTTTTAAACTCCTGTCAACTATACAGAACTGTCATAAAAACATACCAGTAAATTCCTTATTACCTCCACAACTATTCTATAATGTTACTAATTCTTGCTTCATTAATGACAACTCTGTTGGTTGGGCTAAGTTATAAATCTACTCATGGTTCACATAATCGGGCAAGGGTGGCCAAATATCTAGCAGGCAGGCGGCTAACAGCCCAGAACCAGTCCTGGTTATAAGCATTGGAAGTGTTTTGGTGTGTAGCTTCCACCAGCTAAATCGGGTGAGGTTGGTGCTCTGTAAAAGTGCATGTGCAAATGCGTATAATCTGGCTGCTTGGAAGCTGTCCCGTATTTGACAATACAGCAGTTCCATTCTGCCACTGATATTCGAATATACAATAGCAGTCTTATCATTTTTTTTTACATGTAGTATAGAAGTTTGTAATAAGATACATAATGTGGTTATAATAGAATATTAATTTTAATTAATCCAAAATATGTTAAAATATTAAAATAATCACACAATATGTATTTATATTTTAGAAAATACAAGGGAAGCGTCACTTCCCTAGCTTCCAAGGGTGGCACACCACTGATATGTTCTATATCCATTCATGATTCCTTCATAACTCACAACCACTGTGCTGATATTAATGAAATTTGCCATAAAACATATTGCTAATGACCTGTCATGATTGATAGTATAGTCCAACATTATGATGTACTATTTTCCTAACAGTAGGCCTGATTATTCAGATTGAAATTCTCAATAACAGACAAAATGGACATAGAACAGACTGACCCTAGGGTGTGATATGGTTATTTTACACATGTGAAACTTTACACTCAAAATTATTCAATAAATCAGAGTAACTGTTCTACTGTACAGTATATGCCCTCATCTCCATGTTCTAAAGCACAAATTTGATGAACAATTTACTCACAGGAAAATGTGACTTGGGAGTAATCCTCTAGGTCGGGTGGTCAACAGTTTTTGCCCTGGGCCAAAGTGGAAAGAAAACATTTTCCACGGGCCGAACCAGAGGCTGCCCTAGGAACATTTTGAGGTGATGTGAGATCTCATTGTGGTGTCACCCACAGAGAATGAATTGTAGATAGAGATTACAGATACATTTTTCACATTATCATGGTTTATCAACACTCTATGTTGTATTTACGAGATTTACAGTGAGTTGTTGACCTTTTTTTTATTTATTTATTTATTTTTTAGGCATCAGAATTTTTCATCAAGCTATTCGGACTTGAGTAGCTAATATTGAAAGATTGATCACAGGCCACATAAATTCATTAGACGGGCCGTATGTTGGCCATGCCTGCTCTAAGTAGTGAAATTATGTCTTTTAACTAAGATAGGAATCTCACCCTAATAAACAAGACTTGATTCAGAGTATCTTATAATCAAAAATCACAAGATTAAAGTCTGGTGATATCCTTAGCAATAAAACTGCAGTATTCACTGCAAAATTTTCTGCACTTTAGGTAGGGCATATTCAATTACTTTGATATCATACTCACACTACAGCTGCCCTGAAAATTCTCTGTTTGCTGCTTCTCTAAGGTGGTTGCAACTTAATCTATTTTTACCATTTCAACAGGTTTGCAATCTCTTCCTGGTTTTATGTTGAAAATTCTCATTTCCTGAAAATGCAAAATCATTTTTCTGAGGAAGTAATGGTAGACTTTATTACAAGGATGACAATTCCTCAAGTGTACTATCAAAGAAGCAGCAATGCTAGTAGTAAAATTTAATAAGTAGTGCAGAATCAGATTAGTGACAATTCATGATTCTTACCTTATCTACATTTAATAAACTTTAGGACTTTTTATTAACCCTAAAGCCTGAACTCTATAATAATATACAAATTGCAGTGAAATTATTGCCAAATTGTCATGATTTATAGTTTATTGTTTATAATTTCATTAAAAATCTTGAAAGTTTTTAATTTTTTATGTTTGAATAGTTTATGTAGATGTAATCTTTGTACATAAAAAATGATGTTTATTTACTTAGTATTAATTTATATTTAATAAAATAGTAATTATAGTTAAGTGTGTGTATATATATATATCTTTCTTTATAGTGAATACGTGCAAGATACCTCAAAACCTAAACAAAGTTGATTAAATGACTATAAAAAATTACATATGTTCAATTTCTGTCAAGCTTGGAAGGTTTATGGAATAAATCTGCTATCTACACAAGGTTTCTGCATAATCTACATGCTAAAAGTTGCTAAATTACACTATTTCATATTATTTTAGATGAAAATATATTATAGATTCCAAATAATAAAATTTATTAGAAAATTGTAGTGTGTTAAAAATTAAAAATATCCATTTGTTTTAATCTCTTGANGACTGCATACTGTATTATCAAAACACTTACTAAAACACCTTTTCTTGCAGCCAAAGTTTATAAGAAAAACTTTCTAACGTTTTCGGTCTTGTTAAAAGACCTTTCTCAAGAAAACTAAATCAAATAAAACAAAAAATTGTAAATTTTTTGTTTTATTTGATTTAGTTTTCTTAAAGGTGTTTTAGTAAGTGTTTTGATAACATGTTGTAAACATCGTTTAATGAGTCTTTTTTAATATAAACATTTATAGACTATTTTTAAACTTTTTAGTTTTAAAGATTAGTAAACTATTTTTAAAATTTTCAAATATCTTACTATTTATAATATAAATGTTAATGAAATATGTTTTTGTTATTGACATGTAAATTGTTTAATAGGCGTTACCTCATTCCTACTTCATTGGCCAACAGAAGTAAGTGGAGAAAAAAAGGAGTAAAATTACATGTTTATAATGATCATGTATTTGTTGCCAAACATTTCTCAGGGTAAGATAAGTTTTAAATATTATGTTATTTTAATAAACTTACATTCTTCTATTGTTCACATGTTCAAATCACATTTTTCATACTAAAAGATTATTTCAGTCTTCTTTTCTTTTCTTTCAAAATTATTTTTGTGAATTTTAGTGAGGAGTCAGACTTGTCCAGAGCTCACAATTCACTGATTAGTTGAACAGTTTATTCTATTTATACAATTACTATTCAGTTCAAATTAACTGTTTAATTCCTTATTTATATTTGATTATCCTTGGACTAATATCACAAAATGTTAATAATGTTTTAAAGAAAAGATTTGCTATGTTAAATAATATTATAAGTTTATTATATCACTATTTTTCTTATAGGCTAATTACCTGTCAAGTTTGCAACAGACATCTTTCACGACGACCTGGTAAACAAGGTTATGAATGCAGAGGTATGTACTGTATTGCATGTTTTTATTTTAAATATATTTGCTAGTTCAGCTAACATTGAAAAAATAGTAATAATTAAAGCAGTTCTGTTAGTTCAGATTATAGAGAGGTTGAGGCGCACGTTTTAAACGTGTAAACGTGTACGTGTGACGTTCGGCGCCGCTTTCCCGTAAGCCTAAAAGTTTGACGATGGTGTTTGGAATGTCGAGCGTGATTCCACCGACTATCCAAACACCATTGTCAAACTTTTAGGCTTACGGGAAAGCGGCGCCGAACGTCACACGTACACGTTTACACGTTTAAAACGTGCGC